CACAGCATGTAAAAATATAATATAAGCTCTGGCGGACTTGGTTCTATGGTAGGTCTTAAAGGGTTAAAAAATGACAATATGTCACAAGGAACAGAAATCAAGTCAATTCCTGTTTCTGTTTGACGTCTTTAGTCTAATATAACAGGCTGGCTACGCAAGGCCCTGGAAACGGATAAGAAAGACTGGCAAAAGGAAACAGAGCCTGAGGCTGATCAAGACGGATACTATCAGACCACGCTGCCGGCCATCGTCTTTCAGGTAACGCACAGCTGCCCTGTGAGGAGTGAGCCCGTATAGAGCTTTAAGATTCTCAGTATCTGGACTGTGGTTTTGCTCGAGTTAAGTTGATAACTCGCCTCGTGTGGATGTTCTCAGCCAGATGATGTCCACAGTTTTTTTTTTTAACTAAGCGTCAACACGCCTGTTTTTTCAACAGCATTACTAGTTACCTCTTTAAAATGTAACAAGCCATGTAACTACTTTAATTAGTTTAACTACTTGAAAAACACAACACTTGATTATTTGTCAAAATGTGTCAACAGTAGCAGACGATCCTTCACAGGTTCCACACGTTCTGTTAAGTTTGTGTCTTTTGATGTTGCACCATTTTTATTCCTGTAAACATTTGTCTTATTCACTGGCATGCTCACCTGTCTCAGCCTGGTTCACTGCTGCAGTAATGCTCTTTGATTGGCAGAGCACAGAAAGGAGGAGATGAAGTTTTATACAACTGTCATTAAACTTGGTTATGTTTAACTAGTTACTCTCCAACACTGCTCGTTGTTAAAAGTAGTTTATTGTCACTGCACTTGATGAAGGAAAAATGAGATCTAAAGCATGGTGGGGGAAGTGTCGGGGTCACATTGATCAGTATTAGACTGAAGCTGTACCTCACTGACTGCAGTTTAAAGGGTTTGCTGTGACATTCAGTGTACTGTGTGATGTCTGCTACATTGTACTTGCTTGTTGAAAGTGCTCCTCTGATTCTGTCTCGACTCCTCAGATGTTTGAGCAGAACCTACAAGTCGCCGCACAGATCGATGGAGATTTTAAAGAAAAGGTTCTGAAGCTTTGCCTGAAACAAATGAACACTTTCCTTATCAGGTATTTCTGTCATACGCTTTTTTTTACTTTTCTTGTAACAGTTCAAGAAAAATGTGAGTGTGATTTAGAATTTATGAAAGTGTCATTTAAAGCACAGCTTTGTGATGAGCACCTCCTGGAGTAGTGAGTTTCAGGCCTTGATGTTCATGCTCAGACATGCAAACACTAGCGCTGTGCAAACAAACTTGTGTTTTCCTGTAGCTATTTCCTTGTTTGCACCACTTTGTTTTCACGAGGACGTAATAGTCCACTGAGGTGTACACTAAGGGACAACTGCATGAGTTACACTGACAAATACCTTTATTTCCATTCTGGTGCTGCAGGTAAAATCATTCACCAGCAACTTTAATGAATTGAGGCTGCACAGCACTATGTACTAATGGCCTTATAGGACTCGAGAATTATTAGTCTGCATTTTCTAGTGTTGACTTATTGTGAGACTGAAACAATTCACACAGTTCTCTGAAAAACTGTGGACCAGTTAAAACCAGCGTGATGAGACTTTGTCATTAATCATTGAAGCTTGAAGTATGTTAAACATTTGAGAGAATCCGGATCATTGTAAATAAAACTGTTGTGATGTGAATCCAGTTCTAATTGTTTCTGTTCTCACTTCATTCGGACGTGTGCTACAAGTGCATCTGGCAAAATGAACACCCTCAACGTGGTTCATAAAAGTCCCTGGTTCTCCAAATTAAAAGTAGCTAATAATGAATAGTAATTGTATCCATTTAGAGAACAAGTAAGAGAACAAACTACGGAAATATCTTTACCAGTAACTACGTGTGTTTTGTTTGCAGGTACAGGGAGGAGGCGGTGAGCTACAAAGAAGAGCATCTGAGAGACAGGCAGCTGCCTCAGTGTTATGTACAGTATATGATAGCCATCATTAACAACTGCCAGACATTTAAGTGAGTTGTAATTTCATTCATGAACTAGTGTTATATTATCCAAATAAGAGGTGGATTACTCTGTAATTTACCCCGTCAGCCATAACAGACTGATGGGGTGTTGTCATCAGCTCGCTGGGCGGGCAGGCGGTCGGCATGAACACCTAAGATTGTGACGCCATAGGTGCATCTACGAATGATCTCAGACAAGTTCAAATCACACTGACGGGCAGTGTGCTGGCAAAGATTGTTGACGATTTCTGTCTGCTTACCTGTGCTTGATACAGTAAGAGCTCAACGACACGGAGCTCAAGCTCAGACATACAGCTGTGATGTGCTGAGATCTTAATGAAGGCAAATCACTTTCATCAGCTGCTCCTGTTTGTTACACACATCCTGGTGCACAAGAGACA